ACTTCAGGAGGCCATCCAACTCAGGAGGCTGGCCCTCCTGGTGAACAAAAGACCCCAAGTTGCTCCAGTTTCACATAGGTGGTAGAGACTGCGGCTGCATCCATGATGTCCAGAAAATGAGCAAGGACAAGGTTCAAGGAGGCCTTAGGTTTAGAGGAAGTTTGGTCCACAGTAGGAATTAATTCATAAACAAGTACAATGAAGATATCAACAGTAAACAAGACAACAAGTAGAGGAAAGAGGGGAGAGGAAAACTCAGTAGACATAGACGGAAGGATGCTGTGTGATGGGCCACATGGCCTGGACCAGTCCTAAGGAGCCACCAGCGAATAATGCAATGGCCAGAAAGAGGCTGGAGGAATTCCTCATTCCTCTCTGGCTCAGAGATCAACAGTGCCCCTGCCTGCTCTCCAAATTGAGTTCCAGTTTGTCTGGGCACCAGGTACAGAAATCAGAGAAACATTTAATTATTGACCAGAACCAGTAGACTAAAATTGCCAGAGGCTGGGGTGTCCTCCAAGAATTCTGTGATCTCAGATGATCCCCAAAATGTTAGGTCCTGGGGTTGCACAAATAATGGAAACCAAACCACCAAAGTCTATTAACCAGAAGCAAACTTTATTCCATCACCACAGGGTACCAAAATGTCTAGCTAGCTAGGGCCACAGACAGAGTTCAGGATTCTGACACTGTGACTACCAGAAGACACCACAAGCCTCTTTCTATAGTGTAAAAAGAAATCCATACACCAGGCAGGGAGTTACGGGAATTTTACAGTCTTGAGGTTAGGTCTTGAGACCAGACAGAGGAATATTTTCAAAGTTGAGCTTGGACATTGAGTCACAGTACACAGTAAGATTTACAACTTTGGATTACAGGATGTTTGTGAAAGCCTGTGACTATCTTGACGTGGCTGCTTTCCCAGTGGTTGAAAGGAATGTAGGGTAAAGGGTGACCTAGAAACAACTGTTAAAGGTTAACCTTTATCTAACTCCACTATCTTCTCTAATTCCCCTAGAATACATCTATAGGCTAGGCATACAATTTCCCGCATTCCTGGGCTCTTCACCATCTCCTGGTGTGGGTCTTCAGTCAAACCAGATATTGATCTGCTATTCCCGTGAGTTCTGAGCCACTATTTTCCTAGCATATTTCACAGGCAGGAGGGATGGCAGGTCAAATGCTTCGCCACTGGGTTGCTGTCAGTATTTCTCTTTTGATAGCCTGCAGAGTACCTGCCTACAGGAGAGAAAGGCCCTGAAATCTAAGGATGAAGGCTTCACATAGGCACCAGCTTAACTTCTCCATGTTCGATCAGTTGTATGGATGTTGTCCTCAGTGATGGGGCCCCGCAGTCTGTTGTTGGAGAGTAACCTATTGTCGTAGCAACAGCCTGGGTTATTTGAGGATTTCCATAGGACCCTTGGATCCTAGGACAACCCCCATAAAACAACTCAATTGAAGGCAACCCAGACCCGTTACTGGAAAGCTCTTTTGATGACAAGAGATGGTCAGTTGAGACTCCAGACCCCCAATTAATAGAAGACCTCATTAGGATAATCTTCCTTCATGTGTTTTAGGAAGTTTCCACTGCATTAGTTTTCCATGTCTTCCCTCAAATGTCTCTCAATTCCAGCTGTCTCTCCCTGAATTCCCTCCCTCAACCCTATTTCTCCTCCACCTCCCTACCTAATCCTTCTGTTCCTGTCCTCACCCATCCCAGTCTACCCATAATATCTATTATTAGCCATTAAGTAAACGATAACCAAGGTACAATCCATAGACCCAGAGAGGTTTGGTATAGAGGAAGGGTCTTGGGTAGAGGAAACAACATATGGCTCTCCCTAGGAGATTAACTTTGATGTTCAATTTAACAGGATTTAGAAACAACACCTAAACTAAGAATGTGTTTCCAAACGAGGTGGGAAGACCCACACAGGATTAAGTGGTGGCGTCTGATGAGCTGAGCTTTATACTGAATAAAAGGAGAAAGTGGGTGTAGTACCAGCATCTATCTCTCTCTCTGCTTCCTGACTCCAGCAAAATGTGGCCAGTTTCCCCACATTCCTGCTGCCATTCATTTACCACCATGCTGGACTATACCCTTCAAACATTAAGCCAAGCTCACCCTTTCTTAAGGTGCCTTGCCACACTAATGGGAAAAGCATCTGGAATCAGCGTTACCACTAACTACTATTTTAAATAAGATTCTTCTATATCATAAGACCAGCATAGCTCTGTTTCCTGATGCTGTTCCTGAGCTGGTTGGTTGGTTATCTCTGACCTAATCAAAAGAGAACATAAAAGGCAGGGCCTTAGGTAACCCAGGTTGGCCACGAATTCACTGTGAAGGAAGGGGTGACCCTGAATTTCTGATCCTCCTGCCTCCACTTCTTGAGGGCTAGTATCATAGGCTTGCACCTCCATGACTTTCTTACATTGTGCTTGGACTCAAACCCAGGTCTCCTGAATGCTAGGATTTATTTGTGTTCCTAGACCAAGGCTAAGTCTTAACAAAAGACATATGTCCTTTTATAACTCAATATAGGATGGCAAGTGTTTTGGGACTGTGTCATGGTTTAGTTTGCAAGGGCTTTTTATCTTCTCATGATATGTGAAGTATCAATCTGGACCCCACACTTATGTAATGCTGTGCTCACAGGCCCAGGAGGAGAGGGAGATGGTTATTTTAAACCAAAAAAAGCAACTACTAGTTTTAAAGATTTTGCATTGGTACGGATTTCTGTATACAGATACGAATTTGAAGTTATTTTTTTATGCTGTATATATGTTTCTTCTCTCATTTAAGATGTATTTGTATATTGGCACAAATTTAAGGTTATTTTTGTTAGGACATACTATACATACATTTCTACATACATACCTTATTTAAGGTATTTTACCTATACGGTTCATTTAATAATGTAATGTATATTTCTAGTTCTTGAAAATTATTATTACAAACCAATTAGGATAATAAAGAAATGCAGATTAGTAGTTAGTCATCCATAACATTCAAACTTGACTTGTTAGGTATGTTTTCAAGGTCAAACAGATATTCCTTTTAGATAGACAGTTGGTCTTTAAACACTTCAGAGATCTTCAGAATATAGCAATTAAGATGTTTTAATAATGTAAGGTCCTTTTTTTATGACAATGAGATATTGTCCTGGCAGTGCCGGTCTACTTCAGAGAAGGTGATGGGTACCTTATGGGGCTTTCTTTGTGACAAAAGGCATGCCAATCAAGGCTCTAGGAACATCTTCCAACATCCTAACTCTGCAGTTGCCCACAAGCTGTGGGTTCCTCCTGTTCCTGTCTCTCTTTCACAGGGGCATCTCTGTGTGTTTCTTCATTGATCATGCTGCAAAGACTTTGTTTCCGAATGAACTCACAGTCACAGACAATGTGAGGGAATGAAAACCTCAGCATCTTTGGGGACCCTATAGTCTCAGCACTCAGGAGGCTGAGGCAGGAGAATCATTACCATTGGAGTCCAGGCTTCTTAAGCCAGCCTTGGCAACATAATGAGACAACCATTTCTCAAGGAAAAATAAAAAGACAATTCATCCCACAACAAAAACTGGGAAGGAGGGTGTATCTGTAAAGAGGATGGGGGAAATTATGAGCCAAATGGTAAGCCAAATCACTCAATTCTATTGTAAGCCTAATGGGGTTCCTAAACAACTCCAGGTGAACTAATATATTTTCTCAGGCAAGAGAGAAACATCTACTTGGTACACTGTGTGCTAGAAATTGACAAACCAATGATTTAAGATGTGTGTGTAGACATAAATATTTCATACACGATACTGAATATAGCCTGAAGAATATATCTCAGAAGAAAGGGGCATAAAGCAAAATGTTGAAAGATGTCTGTCTTCTTCCTTTGGTGCTAGATCTTTGTCTGGTTCTGGAAGGTCCTGTGTGTCTGTGATTTCTGCTTCTAAATGACTGAGCTGGTCTCAAACTTGCCTCACAAATGAGAGGTGGTCAGAGCCCATAGGAGTACAGAGAGCTGTACTTCCTGGAGTTTGTAGACTAGGTCGTGGGAACAGTCTTTTGTGCCTGTTTGTTCATAAATAATTGTCTAGTAAGCAGCTCTGTGTGTGGCTGAACTCTGATGGTAACATCCTGGTATAATCCACTAACAAGATTATAGGGAGGTAGTCAGTTCTCTTCTATGTATGAACTTCCAGCATTCTTCAGAAGCTACTGAGAAAGAACCTAATTATTGCCCTAATTATTCCTAATTATTGAGGAAACTGCCATGGTTGGTTCTGCTCCATGGGAACACTGCAAACCACACGGCTTGGATAGTCAGTCACAAGGGCTTCCCCATCTCTGAGCCCAGCCGCTGTCCTTAATTCTCTTCTTTACTTGGTCTGACCTTTGTTTCTGAGCTTAGCCTGAACCAGATTTCGATCAATACCTGAGACTACACTGTCTTCCTTCCTGCTACTTCAATGTCCTTCCAGATGTTGCCTCTTAGAGCATCCTTGACTCCAGGTGTCGATGTTGAAATGCCATCTTTACACCCAGTGGTCAGCCAGGTCCCAAGAATTCTACCTGAGACTCACGCCTCAACTTTTCTACTCTGAGCATTTGGATTTATTTTTTTCTCTTCACAGAACTTCAAGGAGCAGTCAGTCTCCTCAATGCCCATGTGAGCAACTAGACATCCACATCCATACGGTAGCGTGACATCTGGTGTCTTGTCAGACTGAACGGAAAAAACCAGGAGGCTCTGCCCAAACACGCTTGTCCCAGTCTAGCCCTCACCTTTGCCCATTCAGCTACAGCGGTCCACACTTACACTTGCATGCTTTGACTTTGTCCTCATTGGAATTTGGAAACAAACAGAGATAGTGGGAAAGAGGCTACTGCAGCAAAACCAACATTGGGCTCTCCTGGAAAAGTTCGGTGTAAGAATGACTTAGCAAAATCTTTGTTTTTCTAGCTTATGGCCTTCCCCTCCTCCGCTTCCTATTCCTCTTTTCTTCTGTTTTCAGCAGTGATCATGGAATAGCACATTAAGAGTTTTAAGTTAGTGTCCTTGATAATATCAGAAGAAGGTTAATCCCACTTCAACCAGTATTTTTTCCTTTTTCTTTCTGTTTCTCTCTTTTGAGACACAGCCATTGTTGCCCTGAGTAGTCTAGACTTGATGTGCAGACAAGGGTGACCTTGAACTTCCCATCTTCTCGCCTCCACATCTTAAGTGCTAAGGATTACGAGCATGCACCATCGTGCCTACCTTTTGTGATACTGGGAATCAAACCCAGGACTTCAGGAATGGAAGGTAAGCATGCCACCATCTGAGCTACATCCCTAGTTCCCTAAAGGAGGCGGTTTCAAACTCAGCTGGGGTTGGTTTCAAAGACAAATTATAACAGGAAACAGGAAGAGTGGTGCCTCATGCTCACACCGCCACACTTGGCCACCAGGATGGACTGTCCTGTCAAGCCATCACAGAGCAACCTTCCTCCTCCAAGCTGCTTTAGTCAGACCTTTCGTCAGTACAGCAGGACAAGCAACTAAGACGTCTCTCTCTTAGGAGCTGGAGCAAGGACAGCAAAGGTTTTATCAAGCATCCAGATACTATCACAACACTTGAGGATGCGCCAGGTGCCATCAGCAGCTATCTGTTCGTTGGCCGCAAGAGGAGAGCCAATGTTTAAGTACTGATGCTGTCACCCATGACACCCTAGGGAGCTTGGGGGCAAAGCAAGAGTTTCACTGGTTTAACTGATAGGACCTGGGTCAGGATAGCTACCTGGTTTCCTTGGCCTTACTACCAAAGAGATGTGGCTTACGAAAAATATCCTTCTTAGCTATGTGAGGCTTGAGTCCCCGACTGTCTTCTCCCTCAGTTTCATTATCTGTCTCTATAGGAAAACTTGGAGCTCTGAAATAATAGGGGTCCAAGGTTTGGGAAACCGGATGAGCACCTCTAAGAAGGCTTCAGGGGACCATGTCTCCGAGGCTGGTCCTGACAGTCCCTGCAGGAAATCCAGAGAGGAGGATGTGAATGATTCACATTTACCTGCCAGGAGATTCAGCTGTGGCTGTCGATTCTTTTGTACTTAAATCTGAGCTACAAGAACACTGGAGATGCCCTTGTCACAGACATCTTAAACTCCTAAAGGGCTTCTTTCTACCATCAAATTGGAGGACATTCTTCTTCTTCTGTTATTTTTTTCTCCTCCTCCTCTTTTTCTGCAACAGGCAGGCTTGAAACTCAGCTGAGGATGACCCTGAGTGGCTGAACCACCTGCCTCTATTCCTGAGTGCTGAGATTATAGGTATCTACCAGATACCCAGATTATGGCTGGAACCCAAGACGCCTTGCAGGTTAGACAAGCACCCTCCTGACTGACTTGTGACAATGGCCTCTGGACCATTCTTGATAAGTCTTTTCTGTCTTTCTTTCTAGCTTAGGTCCTAAAGTAGACTTGGATCCATACTTCTCCCTTCCTCCTTACGTTCGTCGAGCATGTGGTCTGTTTATTTCCTTTACAAGTCCTTACATCACAGGCTCTCACCATGTCCTTCTCTCTTGGTGTGTCGTGTTTGGTGTGAAGGATACAGGGAAACCCTAAACCCACCCCCTGTGACCCAGATGACACTGAATTCGGAGCAACCTGGGAAAACCTACGTTGTTTCATTGACATTCACCGACTGACCTTACTTGACAGTTTTTTCTTGGGCTTAATTTGCTTTTGTTTTTCTCTGCATCCTGGACAGAAGGCTGCCTGGCATTCTCAGGCCTTTTCTCCGTGAGCAATCCCTAACGAGGGTGGAATGCATCTATCTATACTACAACTCAAGCAGCAATCTAAGATCTCACAAACGTTAGCTCATGGGCCGGTGGAATCAGTTCATGGACTGGGTAATAGAACGCTTGCCTCAAATGCACAAGGCCTTGGGGTTAGTCCCCAATACTGCAAAGCAAAACATGTGAAGAGGTTGCTTTGGTGGTCTTACTGCCCTTGCTGCCTAGCTCCAGAAGCAGAAGCCTCACCCACAATTGGGCATCAGCCAGCCCCAGGAAGTGCCTGAGACTGAATTTACTTAACAAAAAATATCAAACATCCCAGTAGCATCATCGTGATGAGTCTCACAGAGCTGGAGGAGACCCTGGCAGTGTGCTCTGACCCCCACCACTGTCCAGGGGTACAACAACCAAGAGCAGGAAAAGCCCTGGAGCTCAGAGCTGTTCTGGCTTAGAGGACACTGTCATCTTGGCCTTGGCCAAGCTACTTCAGTTCTCCCCCGTCTTCAGATCCCAACCTGGATCTGCTTCATTGCATTGGGGTGAGAATACAATATGCTGACACTTGAACTTAAAATCCTGGGTTTCCTTCTAAACATCTAAATCATTAATCTGTACTTTTAAGATTAATCGGCCCTGGAGTGCTAACACGCTACCTCACAGGTTAATATTAAACACTTCTATTTTGCTTGCCCTCTTAGAAGCTGAGTCAGAGCAACTGCCCATGCGTTGGCTTACCCAACATAAGCAGAGCACCGGAGGACCAACTGGACCACAATCATTAACAACAGAAAACATAGAAAGCAGCCAAGGTCTGAGGCTCTCGCTCCCCAATCAGAAAACCCTCATTGCTGTGATTTCAGTAATCCCACTACACCTGATCTCTACCAATCGTCCACTCCTGGGCCGTTCACTAATGGCATGGCTTCTGCTCCACTCCTTTGCTTATTTTGACTCTAATTTCAGTTCTCTGGAGTCAGATGAGTTAGCCAAGGAGGTGAATGATTTACCTTTTGTTGGCCCTTCAGGAATCACTGCCGTTTGAGGTTTAAGGTCAAAAAAAAAAAAAAAAAAATGCATGTGTCCTGTCTTCAGAGTTTGATTTCATTGGAAGAAAAAGACAGTTTATAGAGGAAAAAATATGTACATGTTGGTGTTGAGGAGGTGGCCCAGTCAGTAAAATACATGTGACCTGAGTTTGATGCCCAGCATCCACGTATGAGCGATGCGTAGGCAGTGCATGCCAATAATCTCAACACTGGGGAAGATGGAGCCAGCAAGCCTAGGCCTTGCTGGCTAACTAGTGTAGAAAAATCAGTGAGCTCCTGGTTCAGTGAGAGACCCTACCTCAAAAAATAGCATCGGAAGTGATTGAGGAACACTTCTGATATCAATCTCTGGTTTCCACATTGATTTACATACATACACATAAACATGTGTTAAATACCAAAGGCTTGAGGAGACAGAAAAGCAGAATAATTTGCAAGGAGAAGCTCTCAGTTCTTAGTGTAGAAGACAAATAAAGCAAGAAATAGGATCTGTTTCATCAAGCCAAAACACAGAGGCAGTCATAATCACTTTTATGTGTCCAATAAAACATGTGACTGGTCACACACCCCACTAACTGAAGGCCCAGTAAGCTCCCACCTACAAGGGCATCTTCACACACTCTCCTGCCAGCTCCTGCAGAAGTGTGTAAGAAGCCAAGGTCTCAGTCTCACTCAGTACACAGGAGTGGCTTGAAAGAGAATCAGGATTTCCTGGATTGGGTACTAACTGATGGTCCCAAACTTCAAAGCAAAACAGAAAGACCCGTGAAGATGGACTCTAAAGATCTGGAAAGAGATCTCAGTTGGTAGAGTACTTCCTGGGTAAGCATAGGAACCTGAGTTCTAGCTCAAACACCCTCAAATAGCCAGGCATGTGTGCTAATCCCTGAGAAAGGAGAGATGGGAGGACCCCTGCTTCTGATAGCCAGCCAGCCTAGCGGCAATGCTACCTTAGAAACAGGTAGATGGTTCCTTAGTAATGACGATGCAGGCTGACCTCTGACCTCTACAGCATGGGCACCTGAGAAATGGCCTACAGAAAGCCTATGGTGTGTGGTGAACAATGGTGTCTAAATCATGATCATCACACTCAGCATGAAGTGCTTCTCTAAGATAGGCTTTGGGGTACCCAGTGTCTGCTCCAATCAACATTTATGCTAGGAACGATGATCCAAAATTCAAAAGGATGACCGGTATTTCTTACTACCTTCCAAGAACCTTACAAAAAAAGAAGGAAAAACTACAAACAAAACAACAACAACAACAACAAAATCAAAAACCAACCACCTTGTGTCTTTAATTAATAATACAAAACAATTTAAAAAAACAAGAAAGTCCTATAGCGGTCCTTAAAGAATGTAGTTTTAACTTTTAGCTATAGGATTGATAAAGTCCCAGATTTGGAGGATTTGGATTGCAGTATTGCCAGATAAAATGTTTTAGAAATTTTTCTCTGTTTCTGACAGGGATGTGGATTAGGAACTGGAGCCACAAGAATTGAAATGGGGACATTTGTGTGAATTCAGATGAATATAACAATCTTCAAACCCCAATGGCTTCTATTCTCCATTGCAAGCAGACCCCCCCCCCCTTGTCTGAGAAGACAAGGCTGTTTCTCCCAGCTGAAGGTTCCCAGTTAGATTGGCCTGCTGTTTTACAGACTTACGCTTTTATCCTGCAATGTAGATAAACCCCTCCCACTGGTGCAGAGAAGTAGTAGAATCCACTAATCCAACTCCTATCCTTCTATATTCCATAGTACTGAATTTTGCTACCCTTTTAAATCTGTGCTGACTTACCAGTCTGTCTTTATTTCTAAGAGAAGAATGTTTCCACTGGGGAATCCATCAATCATTCAAGGAAACTGACTATTGGCCATTTCTCTCGTCAATGAGCAGACTATGACTACGGGAACGTTATGGCTAGCTTGAGTTAACTCAATGATAAGAGGACATCAGTTGTCACTACACAGAATAACAAAGAAAGTCCAAGTCACACCGGGCTCGGTTTTCAGGAGTGACTCTTCATACCTCCAAGTCTAGTACTAGCATTTTTAAAAAATGTCTGTATTCAGCCAGTGAAGACTGGATAAATAAGGGCGCTGATCCATTTGGCATGGAGATTTTGGTCAATCTTTAGGTAAACGATTATAGCTAGCCAAGTGTCCTAGAGAAGACCAGGAAGAGATGGAAATAGTGGTTAAGAAAATAAAACTTCAACTATAGCCTGGTGGTGCTGCATTAGGGAAAGGAGGACTACAGGAGAGGAATCGTTTCTACTTCGAATTATTAGGACTTGCCTAATTTCTATCAATCTAATATAACACTCGAGATAATCAATGTGAAAACTAGTGATTTATTTTAGTTCAGGGTCCCAGAGAAGTTAGTTCATAATGGACTGGTCCCATGATTTTGGAGACTGAGACAAAGCAGTTTATTACGATAAGAGTAGGTGGCAGAGCAAGCTCCTCAACTCATGGTGGTCAGAAAGCAGAGAAAAAGACAGAAAGGAGCCTAGCAGAGAGGGGGGGGGAGAGAGAAAGATGAGGATCTGGGTACCAATGTCCCCTTCAAGGCCATCTTCTGACTGCTTCAAGCAGGTACCTCCTCATAAGGTTTCACCATCTCCCAAGAGTCACAGGCTGAGGAGCAAGCCATAAATGTTCACAACAGTCCAGATCCAAACTATAGTCGTGTTTACTGTTTACATATGATAAGCATTTTCTGGTATGTTTAAAGACATCTACTTAGAATTAGACCTTTTACCACTGCCTTGTGTCTCTCTTTTTCTCTCTCTCTAGGTCTCCCGTATCCAAAGCCGGCCTCAAATCCCCTATGTGGCTGAAAATGCCTTTCACCCTATCTAAGCCGCCAACTCCAGAATATTGAGATTATAGGTACCACCAGGCCTAGCTTAAGTGGTACTAGGAACTGAACCCAGGCCTAGTTCACACACACACACACACACACACACACACACACACACACACCCCATACATTTAGAATTATCCAGCTGAAGCTTGTTTGGACGCTGCGAATTTTGATGGTAGCACCACAACGTATCAGGAGCTGGCGGGGCTGTAGCTGCCTTTTGCTGGACATTGGGTCCGACCAAGGTGCTGACTGTCACTTCCACGTCACAGAACTCCCTCACAGCCTGCTTCACATAGCTGTTGTTGGCCTTGACCTCCACAGTGAACAACAGTGCTGCTGTCTGCCTTTGTGGCAGATTCAGTGAGTAGAAGAACTTGACAATGAAGTAGTGGCTAGATTTCTTTTTTCCTAGGGACTGGATTCCAAAATTATAAGGGATATATGGCCAGAACCACACAGTCTTTGACAGCTGGAAGGTAGGTGACATGCAGGTCTTCTTTCTAATGGCTCTCTCCCTGATCTCCTTGATGTTTGGTTTAATATTTGAGAAGGACAGTGATATCCAGTGCATTCAAAGCCATCCTGGTGAAAAGGGTGCTGTGTGGATTATAGATGCGCAGCTGTATAAAGAACTAGAAAATAACTTACATGAATCAGTGATGTACTCGGTTCTGGTAAGTGAATTCAGAGTTCTTATTTCAGCATCAAGATGACTGAGTTCAGGAGCCGTGTTGTGCCAAGAGCATTAAGCACAATTGTGAATATACTTAGCACCACTAAACCATAAAAAATGGTAAATTTCATTTTAAGTGGAAATTTACCACAATATTTTCTAAGGCACAAAACTATTGTTACTGAAGGGCCCCACCCCCACTCCCGTTATGCAGCATGCTAATCCCTGCATCGATAAGTTTTGCAGAACAGAACGTGTGTTTACAAGGTGCCAGGTGTGCAGGTGTAAACAGAGCCTGCTCGTTTGTTTCCCGGCTGCCCAGACCCGAATGATAACGCAGAAACTATATTATTTGTGGCATTGTTTGTCCTATTAGCTTAGGCGTCTTATTAACTAACTCTTACTGCTTAAATTAACCCATTTCTACTAATCTGTGTATCACCGTGATGCTGTGGCCTACCAGTAAGGTTCCAAGGCATCTGTCTCCTTTGGCTGCCTCATGGACTTCCCTGACTCCGCCTACTTTCTCTCTATACCTCTGTTCAGATTTCCCACCTGCCTTAATTCTGCCCTGCTGTAGGCCCAAAGGAGATCCTTTATTAATCAATGGTATTCACAGCCTACAGAGGGGAATCCCACATCATGTGGACAGGACAAACCCAAATATGACTCCCAGAGGACAGGGTTGGGAATATTAGGGGACTAGGAAACAGGTGTCCAGCTGTGGGAGACTGAGGCAGAGGACTATAAGCTCAAGCCCAGTCTGAGCTATGTAGTGAAGCCCTGTCTCCAAACAGTCTGGGGTTGTAGCTTACTGGTATAGCCTATGCCTACCATGGACAAGGCTCTACCATGCCCCAGCCTAGCAAGAAGAAAAGTGATCTCAGGTATGAAAAAATATGAAGGTCGGGGGGGGGGGGGAAGTGACATCATTGTTGGTCTGCACATGTGCATGGATTGTCACAGGAGCATTTCCCGAAAATGGAGGCATTGCAGAGATCCATCAGGGAAGATTCGTGCATCAGAAGTCACCCACAGGGCATCTGCCCATACTCAAGAGAAGCATCAGTGGTTGCAGGACAGGCACCATACCCAAGTAAAAGATCAGTGGTTGCAGGACAGGCACCCATACCCCGGTGAAGCATCAGTGGTTGCAGGACAGGCACCATACCCAGGTGAAGCATCAGTGGTTGCAGGACAGGCACTCATACCCAGGTGAAGCATCAGTGGTTGCAGGACAGGCACCATACCCAGGTGAAGCATCAGTGGTTGCAGGACAGGCACTCATACCCAGGTGAAGCATCAGTGGTTGCAGG